CACTCTAACGTCACCTGGGCTAAAACTCAATCGTGTTGCGTTCATAACAAGGAGACAAACACCACTTCAGCTTTCTTACGTATTACAAAAGGTAACTGTGTACCGGGCATGCTGCAAAACCATGATACAGTAACCACAACATACAATTAACAGAGCGGACAACACTGCCAAGAACATTAGTTTTCAAGCCTGAAAGATCGCAATGTTGACAAAGCTTTAGTAAAAGAAAAGTAAACTCGATAAAGCAACTGTTAACGATCTGATGTTGACGACATGCATCTATTATTTTACAACAATAATGTCCACTTTGAAGACAGTTGCATTGTTTGCAGTCCTTTTTTCCTGACATTTAGGAGGGATGTGGTGCATCAATATTTTCCATGAGACTCTTGGAATTAAATAAGCAAAATATATATGAGGAAGTCGGAGAGGAAAAGAACGTTTTATTCGCCCAGTTATATTAATTGCTAACTCTTCGAGTGTAACGCTCTTCGGCAAGTCTTAGTAGTCGAATTGAAGAGTCTCTCCAAAGCAGGATGAGGATAAGTCTGTTTGTTTACTAAACTTCTATTTTTGTATTTTTTTCTCAAACGGAACGTTATATACATGGTTCTTATTATTTATTTGATAAATTCCCTATAGCTGGCTCTTTCAATGGCCAGTTGCATTGCTCATGCCTGAAAAAAAAATCTTGAAATCTTTACTGAGACTAATGATGTCCCTTTTTATGCAACTGGCCTTTGGTTGAGCATTTGCAATGCAACTTGCCTTCAGATCGGAAGTGTATCTACCCAGTGTGTAAAAAGTCAACTTGCCTATGTTTAAAGATCCGAGTTTCAAATGTGGGTCTTGTGCAGAGAACATCTTCATTATCATCTCAACTTAGGACCAAACTATGCCAACTGATTAACACTTTCGCGTTTTCTTCACTGCTGCACAAAGAGGAGCTTAAGGGGAAGAGACAGCAAGGGGAGGCAAAGGGGAAGGAAAAGAAGTTGGGAGGGGGCTGAAGGAGGAGGAGGAGGAGGAGGAGGAGAAGGAGGAGGAGGAGGAGGAGGAGGAGGAGGAGGAGGAGGAGGAGGAGGAGGAGGAGGAGGAGGAGAAGAAGAAGAAGAAGAAGAAGAAGAAGAAGAAGAAGAAGAAGAAGAAGAAGAAGAAGAAGAAGAAGAAGAAGAAGAAGAAGAAGAAGAAGAAGAAGAAGAAGAAGAAGAAGAAGAAGAAGAAGAAGAAGAAGAAGAAGAAGAAGAAGAAGAAGAAGAAGAAGAAGAAGAAGAAGAAGAAAAAAAACAAGAACAAAAAGAACAAGAAGAACAAAAAGGAAGAGCAAAAGGAAGTGGAGGATAAAACAAACACTTGTCTGATTCCTTCAAGGAAAAAACCCCCACTACAAAATCAGAGTATTGTTTTGCTAAACACTGTCTTATACTGGCAAGCACGGAGGGAAATGGTTTATGAACATAATGGAATGTCTCTGGAATTAATCATTTATTTTACATCCTTAAAAAAAAGAAGAAAAAAAAAGAAAAAAGACATAATAAGGACTTTTTGCTTTTCTGCATTTTGAACGCGCTTAGCTGAATTCGCAACTTAAATTATAAACCCAAACTTTGTTTTTAAAAAATTAGGTTCGTTCTGTTCTCATGAAATATGGCTATTTCCTTAACATTAAAGCAGTGGGCTTGATTTAAGGAATGGGTAAAAATGAACATGCAGTTAAGGGTAGAGCCCAGGTTAAGCAGTATGAAAATCCCCAAAGGAATTTACGTGTATTCGCTCCGATCTGGCCTTTTAGTTCACATATTTTGATGTCATGGCAGGATCTTCCGTTTTCAGAAGAATCATATCATGTGTACAGGACCCACATTTGAAACAAAAGCCGAAAAATCTTCGGAAGCCTGCACGGAACCTGAAATTAAAGACATAATAACATAATCAAATCTTGTTTATTGTTTGTTTTTGAAATTTGAGAAATGAGAAATTCAAACAAAGATTTAAAAAATTAGGCGTTTTTAGAACAAAGTTGTGAAGCAAAGGATAATGAGTATATTTTTCATATAGAAGAAATATGATTCCAGGACATACCCTGTATCTACTGGAAAGAGTGGTAGTGAAATCCTGATAAGTGGGTTAATAGCTGTCTCTGTCTCATTCAACACAATGTCACAAGGCAGTCATCATCAACTACGTAAGAATGGGGAATAATATAGCTCTGAGCCATGGGTCAGTGTCATAATGAGATAAATGCAACATCTCTTACTATTAGAATTTCTTGTCATCTTGTCATCTCAGACCAAAAACAAAAACAAAAAAACAACAAACAAAAAACAAAAAACAACCCGAACTAACAAACAAACAAAAGTAAAAAGAAAAAGAAAAGAAAAGCCCAGAAGAAAAACAGATCTAACAATCAGGAGTTTCCATGACAGAAATACAATCATGTAATGTTGTTGAAAAAAAACAACTGCGACATGAACACAAACAACAGCGGCATAATTCCGTTAAAGGATCCATGGTTAGTGGTACATGTGATACGTTGAAAACTTTGCAGTCAGCCTGTTTGTGTTTTTTTTTTTAAATACAAAATATATGTGTATAAACGAGAACAATACTACATGACCCTTATTGTGGACATAGCCAAAATTCTGCATAAATGCAAAATTATGCTGGGATCAACTTGAAGATACTGTTTTAAAAAACCTATTCATATTGCTAAAGCCGTATGAACCTTTTCTAAAACTTATTAAACCATTGTCTCCAACCCTGTCCCTAGTACTGCTGGCCGTTCCTCCAATTCTTAGCCTGTTTACTTTAGGCTCTGGCTAGAGCCTTATGCTCCTTTCCTCAAGATCTGTGGACGTTTCTACAACCCCCCCCCCTCAACACACACACCCTCCCATTCCCTTTTCCCCTCCTTTGTATTTTGTTGTGTATGAGGATTACTCACAAACCTACCCTATGTACCTTTTGATCCAACCCACCACTTCTGTAAACGTTTGGGCGCCCCCCCCCTAATCTCCCCCTCCCCCCTCCCTCATTCTTCCCCTCCCCTCCTCTCCTCTTCTTCCCTTTGTGTTAATGTATGAGGATTCCTTAAACCATTCCCTTTCCTCTCCTTTGTATTGGTGTGTATGGGAATTACTCACAAACTTACCGTGTATACCTTTTTGATACATTCCTGTATTTCTTTGAACGTTTGATCCCCCCCTCCCCTTTTTTCCTTAATTTTTCCTCCAATCTCTCCCCCCATCCCCTTTGCGGTTGTTATGTAAGATAATTCCTCAAACCTACCCAAAATACCGTTTCCTCCCTTCCTCTACTTCTGTAAACGTTTGGGCAAATCACCCCCCCCCTCAATCCTCCTCTCCCCTTTGTGTTTGTTATGCTTCAGGATTCCTCAAACTTACCCAATATACCTTTTGATCAATTCCTCTATTTCATTGAACATTTGAGCAACCCCCCCCTCCCCTTTCCCCCAATTTCCCCTCCACCCTCATCCCATCCCCTCTCCTCTCCTATTTGTACTGTCGTTCTGCCTCTCTTAGTCTCACCAGGACAAACACAGACTAGATAGTCAACAAAGAAGGCTCTCTCCCGCTGGTGTAAAACCATTCAGTCGAACATTGCCTTGTCCGTCCATCACTCACGTGAGCTATACACGGCCTCGTTTTGACTCATGATTCTGAAGAAATCTCAGGATCAGAGTTTGGGAGACAGAAAATTCATCATGGATTGTGTTTATATACTGAAATGGAGAAATTTGAGAGGTGGGGGAGTTCGGGATCGAGACAAAAAAAAAATGAGAAGAAAGGGTGGGGCTGTCAATTCTCTGGTATGTTGTTTATGGGAATTCCTCAAACTCTCTCCCTACCCCACCCCTTCCCTTTCCACTCTACAATGTGAATGTTTAGATAAATGGTTTATTAAAATTATAATAGACCCCTTCTTGTTTAAAGTTCAACATATATCTTTCTCCGATAGTACAGAGGAGAGGTGGGAGTTGTAAAAATAATATAAAAATTGTGTGTTAGGGATCAGAGTACAGCATAAACTAACTGACGTGATCTTAAAGGTATTTCAAAAAACAAAACAAAAATAAATAACAACAACAACATTATGGTAGAACTAGGAGATGAGGGCTAACTAAAAATATTACTTTTTATTATATGATAAATGTCGCTATTAAGTATGGAATTATAGAGATATAATTCTATTTGTTAATCAGTTCAATCGGTAGGTTGCAGCTTATGATTCCAGGAAGCAAAGAACATGTTTCTAAGTGTTTTGGGGTCTGCTGGGGTAATAGTAGTGTGGAAAGCGTATAGAGCATGCCGAAAAGCTCCGACATGTGCTATATAAATTAGTGAAATAGTTTCTATTATTATTATTATTATTATTATTATTATTATTATTATTATTATTATTATTATCATTATTATTATTATTATTAGCATTATTATTATTATCATCCTTTTAAATTTGAAGTGAACAAGACAAACAAATAAAGACCAAAATTTTTTGTCTTTTAAAATCTTGTTACGATGATTCTGATATGTGCTTGGGGGGAAGGGGTGAGGGGCTGTATGCCTTGATATGTATTGACATATATAAGGCTGACAAGAACGAAAGTAAACCGTCCTCTGCAAATAACTGTCTTGTCGAATCGCAAACACCAGGGAACAATACAAAAAGTCACATTTGGACGAGTTCATATTTCAGCAACACATCATCGTCCCACAGGACGAGCAGAACAGTTCATTTCACTTCTATTTAATGAGAATAAAAAGACAGAAAGAGAACAAAAGGGACTCTAAGCTCACCTTCATTATGATAACACTGCAATAACAAACAAAAGAAGTAAAAAATAGAGGTAGACCCTTCGAAGACACACGTAGTTACTACGTCAACACGGTTGCGTCTCTCTCACCTGCCAAGAAAAATATCTCTCTGAAACAATAAAGTATGATCTTATCTTATCTGATCGTATCTTATCTTTCTCTCACCTGGCGTTCATTAAACAGTAGACGATGGGGTTGTACATGCTGTTGGACATGGCCAGCCAGTAGATGAGCAGATACAGCTGTTGTACATACGGCAGGAAGGCGATGTCTTTGTGGATGCTGCTCAGGATGAAGTACAGATGAGTCGGCAGCCAGCACACGCCGAAGATGACTACCACGGCAATCATCATCTTTACCACCTGGGGGTGGAGTCAGTTCAGGCGTTGTTAAAAACAGGACACTATAATGACATGCTTATGAATAAATATACGGTCGAACCTGCTCTAACGACAATCACAGATATTCATTCATTCATCCAGTGCCAGACATCGGCGATCATCGTTCTCCATTCATTCCTTTGCTCGGATGCTCTAAAAAAAGCTATGGTTTCCTTATCTTTCCCCGTTACCCATTTGTTTAGATTCCCTATGTAGGTTGTTCTGGGCCTACCCCTGCCTCGTTTGTCTTCGATTTTGCCAGTGAGAGCTGGATGACCAAGACCTTTATGCCTTTATATCACTGATATACAATCTACAAACAGTCCAAATGTGGTTAAAAACAAACAGCACACAATAATGCTTATGAATAAATATACGGTCGAACCTGCTTTAATCACCACTTTTTCAAAACAATCACTGATATACATACTATAAACAGTCCAGTTGTTGTCCAAAAACAGCTCACAAAAATGCTTTTATAAATGATATAGTATACTGATGAAACTACTCTAACCACCAAGACCAAAACTTATACCAACAACAGACGACCTCTTCCTCTCCAACCCCATGCGCGTCTATCTATAATGACACCATTGAAGACATCCGCTTTTTTGCCAACACAAGGTGGTCCTGGTCATCTCGGATGGTTTCGACTAAAGCTTTTCTAATGTATCTTTATGTTGTATTCCATGGAATGACTTCATGCTTGGTTTGCTTGAAATTAAAGATGTTTATAAAGGCCATTTCAATAAAATGATTGCACACAATAAGACTCCACCCCCTTAAAAACAAACAAACAAACAAATAAAAATAAACAAACAAAACAAACAGAAAGAAAAAAAAAAGAAATCAACAGCAAAAAAACAACAACAACAAAAACAAACAAAAACAAAAACAAAATATAACAAGTAACAAAGAAACAAATTTTAAAAAATAGCTTTCACTTAGATAATTAAATACACACACACACACACACACACACACACACACACACACACACACACACACACACACACACACACACACACACATATATATATATATAATATATATATATATATATATATATATATATATATTGATATATATATAGAGAGAGAGAGAGAGAAAGAGAGAGAGAGAGATAGATAGTTAGATAGATAGATAGATAGATAGATAGATAGATAGATAGATAGGTAGATAGATATATAGATAGATAGATAGATAGATAGATAGATAGATAGATAGATAGATAGATAGATAGATAGATAGATAGATAGATAGACAGATAGAAAGATAGATAGATAGATAGATAGAGAAAGTAAGACAGACACAGAGAGAGAGATAGAGAGAGAGAGAGAGAGAGAGAGAGAGGAGAGATATGAGAGACAGAAATGAGAGAGAGAGAGAAGAATGAGAAGGATGGTCAGACTGACTTGGTTATGGGGTCAAGGCCAAATTATCATGTCTAACAGACACATCACACAAAACCGAATATTCATCGCTCAAGGAAAGGTCTCATGTTTACCCATGGGTCCAAATCCTTAGCCCAGTAAAAGGTTGAAGGTGAAGGTGAAGGGAGCCAATACATTCTGGAAACAGCCTGGCCTTCGGCGATCCCTTGTGAAAAGTATCACGTATATATAGTAATCATCCTTGGAGGACGGGTGATATCCATTGATATATTTATTGAGGCAGTTTGTTGAAACTTAGTCAATGCACCCAGCTATTTGTCAGCTCTTTCTCGCTTCATTCATTTTGAGAAAAGGGCTACAGTGATCAAAGTTCAATAAAAATGATGTATTGGAGACGTAGCAATAAATCGTACTTAAGGTAGCTAGAGAAGCTCAATCCCCCATGTGACAGAACAATTTACTCTCTGATATAAATCATTGTTGCGCCACACTATTGCTTATAACGACTGAGACACGAAAATTGGAAATCTTGGGTGCTTCATTTTCCGAAAACGTTTCATTCCTTCCAATTTCTCTTCCTCTTTCGGACCAGTCGTCTTTCTTGTCAACTCTTCCACCTACTCTCATTTTATTTTATTTCACCTTTTTTGTGTAATACTTTCAAGAATGTTGTGAACGTGTTCCTCTATACACATTTATATTATGTATCCGTGTCAGTTTCTACTGTAATACTTAATAACAATGATCGTTATAACAGATTGTATTTGAAATTAGAATAGTTAAGTCGAAATCATGCTGGAAAACGGAACGGATGACCCTGGTTCGAATTCCCCGCGGAATGCTCTGGATTTGGCTTGGTTTGAGACTATCTATCTATTTGGCTGGGTCCTACTGTAGCGTTAAATTCGGAGGTCCTAACTGTTAAAATAATACTCTTATAGCATTATAAAAGGCGAGTTTAACCTGAAACATCTGTTTGCGTTTTTGAAAGATTCTTCTTGACTCGTTAGAATTCATTATAACTCCAACAAAGCGCTTAAGAATTCCGAAGTATTCTCAATTTCCAGGAATAACGTGCCATTGTATACTGCAATACCTGGTCTCCAATACTGAAGTGTCATGTACACTTCGAGAACAGACTAAAGCTCATTAGATGTAATCACTTGGTGTGTGGGTCGTCTTCTCTAACCAGGAGAGACAAAATCCATAAATCTCTACGTGTCTGCGCTCCAGACTACTTTGCTGCATCACTGTCAGACGTTCAATTTCCTTATTCCTCTTCCCGTTCCCCATCTGTTTTCCGATCCTTCACTACATCTGCACCCTTCCCTACCTACCTATCCTTTCTCTCGCCCCCCCCCCCCAGCTCTCTCTCTCTCTCTCTCCCTCTCTCTCTCTCTCTCTCTCTCTCTCTCTTTCTCTCTCCCCTCTCTCTCTCTCTCTCTCTCTCTCTCTCTCTCTCTCTCTCTCTCTCTCAATTTACACCGGTGCATGTGGTTTAGCAGTTATGTGCTTCGCTGTCACAAGCAGGAGACATGAGTTCAATCACTATGTGGAGAGATTATTGATCAAGTATCGCTGTCTTTCCGGTGGGCCTTCGTGTCTGTTTCCGTGTGGTTTGGCCTTGGCATGCAAAATTGAAGCAGCCCCCCCCCTCTCCCACTTTTAAATGAATCATCTACGACACTTCGATGAGCACGTAGCGTAATACTTCATCAGTTACTTTTTTACCCCAATTGTCTACCAGTCTTTTAGGGTATCTCCAATCCCATCCCACCCTAGGACCCACCATCTTGTCTTTTTTGCTTGCTCCACATATCTCTTCCATCGTTCTGGCTATCCTTCGCAGTTGTCTGTTCATATAATGGTGTTGCAAGGCCTTTAGATTTGCACACCGCTATTAAATCCACGCTGGTCCTAAATACTAACACACATAACAAAAGCTGTACACGGACGAGAATTCCCACCGTGCTTCCCTTACCCGCATACCAAGAAGTCAGTCACTGAACTACGCTATCGAACCAATTCCACTGAGACACAGAATCCCACATGGTCATCGCAAGTATGACATTATAGTCTGACCTCAGCCAGATAAAAAAACCTCCATAGAATTGGACGCCTGGGCACATCTCAATGACCAGTGGCACTGACCGCAGACTCCTCGTAGCCTGGGATGTTCGTCTATAGCCCCAACCTTTGGCCTTGGTGTTCTAACCTAATATTTCCCCGATCCCACTCTCGTGTCAGTAACTCGTTGAAGCTTTGCGTTGTCGAGCATTACGTGGGACTGTAGGCGGCTCTTGAGTTTGGACACAAATTCAGAAAGCGTTCTTAGAGAGTAGTACGTCATTAAAGGATGTTGGTTTTACTCAAGGAGTATCTACATCTTGAAGGACACCCTAAGGGTGGAAACTAAGAACTGGCGAGATAAAAAAGACTTGTAGTAATATTTTCATACTCAAAGACTGTTCTTTTAACAGAGCTAGTCGTTAGCTTGCAAAGAGTGTCGTCTTTGTGGTAAATCCTTTTTACGGCTTTGCGTGACTCGTTGGTAGTCCACATAGTCCTCTTTTCATCCAGGCCCAGCTATCTATCTATGTATCTATCTATCAATCTATCTAGCTATCTATCTATCTCTCCACCCCACTCCGATGTCATTTTTCTCTTTAGCATCCATCCATCCATCCATCCATCCATCCAACCATCCATCCATCCATCCATCCATCCATCCATCCATCCATCCATCCAAACATTAACTTACAAACACCCACCCACACACGCACACCCCCCCCACACACACACTGATCCATCCATCCATCCATCCATTCATCCATCTATCTATCCATCCATCCATACGCACACACATACATACACCATCTCTACTTCAGCAATTTAAAACAACAGCAATACTGGCAATGAAAAAGCAATAAACAGCAACAACAGAAAATGAACAAAGAAGATTTCGGTACCCAAAAGCATTTTTAGCCGATGTTGTATCATTTCCAGTATCGTCTTTGGATATTTCTTGTCTAAGAAAAAAAAAAAACGTCATCCGATTTTGAACTTTGAAATCAGCTCCTACGTCACGTCGTCGTTTCTCAGAGGTCATTAGGTGTGAAACTTTATGATTAATTAGACAAACGGATGTGGACATGAACTGGAATTGACGCAGGTTTAAAAAAAAAGATTTTTGTTGTTGCTGTTGCCTTTTTTTTGTTGTTGTTTTTTGCGGGGGGGAGGGGGGGTATTTTCCTCATAAAAGCCCCATCTATATCCTGGTATTTTAGACTTAACTGATTACCTTACGTTACATTTGCTTTCGCTGACCCGCCCCCCTGTTTCAGTACGACCGACTAGGTGTTGTTTCAATTACTCTAATTAAATGTTCTCTCTTGAAGCTGTTTATTTTTGTTTAGCGATCTAGATCTCCGTTGTAAAAATTGTGTATTTGATTCCCGAGAGGGAAAGCTGTTGTTGTTTTTTTTTGGGGGGGGGTTTGTAACTAGTGTCTATGCCAATGTGATGAGATGCTGTATACTTCTCAGGCCACCTTGGCCTCACGGGTCATGTCGAAGTCACCCGCCTCCTAATTTATCTGAACGGTGACTATGGAAGCATAAAACACGAACAATTAAATTAACATTGTTTACGTCAGTCAGGATTTTGACTATTTAGTGTAAACACTTGTATTTGAAAACGTTAAAGTTTGTTTCAATAATACCTAAAATTCGATTTTTGTCAAGGATCTTCAGATATCTTTACATTTCAATGGAGTGAATTCTCCGGGGATAGGAAGGAATAGAATCACTCTTGGCCAAAACTGAAATTTGAGACATTGGGTGCTGTCAAAAAATGACGTTTATTACTTTACCTCTGTTTCGTCATCTTTCATTCTCAGGGATCTCTGACACAATGGATGTCGTGTTGAGAAAAACAAATTGCCCTGACACCCCCAAAAATAAACCCATGTCAAAGGACAGGGGTTTCAAAGGGAGGATTTAATCGAAATCCCAGGAGTCATAGAGTACCAGCGGTTCATTTCTCGCTGCTGTAACGAGGATAATCTCCGGCCTGACCGTCATTTTTGCTATCAACGCGAATAGCACAAGCTTATTAAAATGAAACAGAAAGAAAAATAGAAAATAGAAAATTAACCTTGAATACGAAAGCGGAAGTGACAGCACCAGTGACAATAACAACTATGACAACAATAGAAACAGTACGGTAACAGCAACCACCACAACAACAGCAACAACAAGAATAGCAATAAAAGCTGAACATAACAACAAAAATAACAACAATAACAACAAGAACAACAATGACAACAAAAACAACAACAACAAAAAAGACAAACCCACAACAATAACAACTGAAAGTGACAAAAATGGTGAAATGGCGTACGGTACACGCCCTCATCAACACTGTTATTTAAGAGGCGAGACCTCCAAGTTTAGCGTCTATCTAGGAAAGGACCAAGCCAAGAGGGAAATTCGTGTATAGTGCCTTTTTCAAGGACACAACGTCAGTCCCAGCTGATGCTCGAACACCCGAACCTACAATCTCACGGTTAGAAGTCCTGTAGTCTAACCCCTAGGCTAACGACGCCACCCTCTACTGAAGGACCAACAACTACTACAACTTGTCAAATCTGGCTTTCTAAGACACACATAAGTCATCTTGAGGTGACCCAGAATAGGTGTCCGAGAAGGACTATAGGCCAAGCCAAGTTATAACCACTAGAAACCCTACAGCATTAAATCTTCTATCAACACCCATTGCCAGTGTTGTAAGGAAGAGCCTTACGTCTCCCCCTTGACCTCCCAAGGCACCCCCAGGCAACAGACCATTCAGATCGAGGACTGAAACAGTGGGATTGGAGAAAATTATGAACATCATCTCCCACCTTATCGAGCACGATAAAAGAAACCTCTCTTCTACCTCGAGACTGAAGCGCGGAAAGACACGTGTAAGCTGCACACGTCCACATGTGGAAATGATGCTTACAATAGCTCAACCTTTGGTAAATGTTTTTGCTTCACAAATTGGTTACAATTTCTATATCAGAAGTAAAAAATCGTCTTAATTATTATTTCTTCTGTTTCGTTTGAGGAATATTATCCTTTTCTGCAGATTCATTGTTGCTTGGTGCGGATATTGATGGGGGAATGATATTACAATATATTACTTCGATACCAGACCGTTCTCCAAAGAGATGAAATCAACTATGATTTTCCAGCAGATACACACATATACACTCACAAACAATCACAAAGAACAACAACAACAACAACAACAACAACAACAACAACAACAACATCAACAACTACAATGACAACGATAACAACTGCAATGGCAACAACAAAAGCGACAACAGCAACAGCAACAACAAAAAACATCCCCAGCAACAACAGTAGCACTAACAACAATAACCACAATAACGCAAGCAAGAACAAGTACACAAATGACCCGTCACTGACCTTCCGTTTGCTTCGGATCCTCTCAGCTTGCATGGGCACTGCCTCGCCAATGGCCTGGCTTCCCCACAGCTCCCAGCCAATCCGTAAGTAGGTCGCGGCCAGTGTGATCATGGGAACAAAGTAGTTGACCACCATCAGCAAGATGTTGTACCTGTGAAAGACAGTGGCACATCTGTATGGTTTGCTTCCACCAAATACCGCTGTGAATACTTTTTAATTACTAAAGAAAGAGAAAAAAAAACCCAGAGGCAACAAAAATGAGGTTTATTCTTAGACCTTTAGTACATCATGGTATAAAAAGAGAGAACATTGGAAAATGCTTAAGGATGCCAACATGGAGACAATCACTTATTAAAAATAATATTTGGGTTGAGGGAAATTCAGTTCTTAGTATACTTGAATAGACGTAAATTTCATAAACATATTACATTCATTTTAATTTTTAAAAAA